ATGGGGCCTCTCCAAATTTCAGTATGTAGGCAGTTTCATACACACCCCGCAATTGTGGGATTACTGAGCATCTAAACATGCATCACAGGACTGATAGATCACTGATTGAAATAAAAAAAAAGTGAGAAAAACAAATTTGGAAACAATCACTGTAGAACAATAAACAACAAACGACTTCAAGATGGAAAAATTTGTGGAAAGCATTGATAATTGTACCTGTAGCTGAGAGCAAGACAATGCTTTGTCTGCTGATAATGCTGAACCATGTGCTTGTTCACAAAAGGGCTGCACAGGGCGTCCATACAGCAGAAACATAACCAGTTCTCATTGGGGTGCTGGCATCTAATTTATGAGGCACTCAGACTCAGATCAACGTAAAACGGGAACAGAATCAGAAGGAGCAACCTTTGGATTCTCTTTACTATAACAATCTGAAGATTCTATTCAATGTGAGAGAAAGCCTTTTGAATCTCTTATCATCGATGAAAGGAACAAGTTTACTTTCATTTCCTATTGCAACTTACATGCAAGCAACAACCGGTAAAAAACCAAGTGTGCTATGAGTTTATTTAAGTAATGACATGGTCTTGGCTTCATGTAGATGAATTAAAGTTTATTTACTTTGCAAATCTACAAATTAACTAGAACAACCTCATGCTGTAGAATGCGGATCCTAGTCCTCACTCAGAGGCCTGCAACAATGCTACATTGTATTTTCCTATGTTTTCCTTCTAAAGTCTTTCTGGGGAAGGGGGAGCCTGTTAGGATTAGTTGAAGAATAAGGAAGTACTTAGGAAGATGCTATGCACATTGTTGGATTAGGTGGCTTTAAAGTATTTAAACAGCAGTCACTTCCTACAGTCCTATACTTTATCCCATTTGAGATGCAAACACAGATTTTCGCAGAAGGAATCATATATATTGCATGACAAAGGATATAGAAATCTTATACCAATTGTAGCAGTCACGTAAGCAACCTCAACTTATTCATATGTCTGAGAAACAGCATACAAATTAAGAAAGCAAATGCTTAATAGACAGTCATAGGTGGGAGAGGAAATTAAACCAAGAAATTAACCAGAGATTGGTCAATTAAACATATGGTGAGAAAAGATGGACCCTTTGTGATCAAGCCGGGGAATGAAGACATTCAATTTTTGGCCGGGCAAATATACAACAGAATCTCAGTGCTTACAATGAGATTGTTAAAAGCACACACCAACCAAACTTCTTTATCTTTTAACTTTGTTCAATTTACAGACCACCAGTCTTTTAAAAACTCTCAGTTCCCATAGTTGCAAAATTAAATCAGAAATACAAGTTATGGTTCACATTCAAGCAGTCAGGCTTTGATAATGTAAAAATGGTAAATGCCAGAATAACTGTGAAATCTTCTTTCATCAAAGTTGTCTTTCTAGTTGATGGCTCTAGCCCATTGGGGATATATATATGCAACTAAGGTCACCTAGAGAGTAAATTATTACAAAAAGAAAGCTACTTTTCATAATAGGGTACAGTTTCTTTTCCTTTTCTACTACAACTAGGCAATGACTTGGGTCTTGGCTCTAGCAGATAATTAAAGCTCATTTAACATACACACTTTTCTACTCCATTTCTTTTGTGTATCTTTGTTTTCCCAAATGCCAAACAACCAATCATTCTCAACTCAGAAACAAAGCAAACAGGGTTTTAAAAACAAAGCAAAACATAAAAACAACAACAACAATTCAGAGTATAAAACAACCATTGAAAAAGTAACATGAACCTCTTGCATGGAGTATCAGAGCTGGGAATGCCGGTGAGATCAGAGGTAAAAAAAAACCAGGTGAGATCAAACCATGTCTGTGCCTTCACTAAACAAACCTTTAGATTTGGTCATTCAGAAAAAGCTATATATGTTTTAGCATCAACCATTAAACTTAATCTATTTCAACTAGTTAAAGATTACCTTAGGAGAAGAGACAAAGTCAGAGCTAGCTGCCATTGCCATTGAGGAGTTGCTGTGGACTTTGAATAAAATTTACAATACAAAGTTTGCGAAGAAAAAAAAACCCGCAAGATTATAAAGTCAGTAACTGATTAGATTGCAGTTCAAAAGCAGTACCCTTATTTACAAAATCACCTCACTAGGGTACTTGATGTACAGTAAGTTACATATCCTACTTTGAACCTCAAAACCAAAGAAGGAAAGGCTATACGAAACCTCTCTGCTTTCCCAACCATAACCTATCTTCTCCAACCAAATGTAAGCAAATCCGGGGGAAGAGAAGCAGGATCGAGCTCCCAACAGTCTTTCAAAAGGTTTGGAGCCTCATCACCAGAGAGCTTCCTAGCAGGAATTTGGTGTGAAACCAACCTAACGTCATTCTTTTCTAGCCATCTAATAGCATGGGATCCAATCTCCCTCCTCTTAAATACTGTCTTGAACCCATCAACCTTCTCAAGATACCCCATACTCAAACCGTGCATCTCACTATAAGTGGTCAGAAACACAACTATGTCATAGCATCGCTTATCTTTAACAGACAGGTTGCTTCCCTCTGCATCCAAAGCTGCTTCATTATAAAGTGCCCACACGGAACCCTTCTTTGGATAAATACGATAAATTTCTCTTGCAGCCCTTTCACAATTCACGACATGAGAAAATATATTCACTGAATAAATGGGAGTCTTCCTGGCAACCTTAAACCTCCCACAAGAGACATGGAATCCCATTTTCTCCCAAGAAGCCAACCACTCATCACCATTATTTTGAAGATCCAACCAACTCATTTTCACCTCAAAAGGATTGACAGAAACAACTTCATCGATCAAACCATAATGCCTGGGCATTCCATCATCATCATCATATATCGCCCACACCTGCCCCTTCTTAAAGCTCCTCTCCTCTCTATCTTTATCAAAATCATAAAAATCAGAATCCTCCACTGCCATAATCTCCAAATCCCCACTCTTTGACAACCTGCTGCTCCTGTCTACTGCCAAACCTCTAGTCTTATCACTTCCTAAATCCTTAATCTTCTTTGAAATAGCCCGTCTCTCAACTTCAAAATTCTTACCCTTCTTCAAATCGTTATGCCTCAGCCTCTCCCTCTTATCTTCCTTCTCTCTTTCATCCTTCTTGTCTTGAAGCTTCAACTTCATCTTCATCTTCTCCTTCTGCGCCTTTTTCTTCATTTCCGACTGCATTTCTGCCAATGTCATCATGTCCTCACTGGTTTTTGCCTTCTTTGGTTTAGACCTCTCCATCACCTCTCCAACGCTACTCATTCTCCTTCTCAACCTCAAACCAAATGGTTCACCACCATTACCACCACTCACACTTTTCCCTCTCCCACCACTACCACCATTAATGTCACCACTATCACTCACTCTCCTGCCTAATCCTTCATTACTTATTATTTTCCCTTTTGATGCCAAACCGGTGGCGTTTCTTAACCTCTCACTGGTCCTAACCTTAACATTTTCACCACCACCATTCTCATCACTTTCAACCTCCAGAGCCTTAAAGCTCTTCCTACAACTTGGGCAAACCAAATTATGCCCCAAATACCTCCTCTCAAACTGGTGGAAAAGCCGGCACGTCGAACACGAAGTCCAAAAAGTCTCCCTCTCCACCACCACACTCGAACCCAAACCCCCAACACCACCCTCTTTAATCTTCTCATCCTGAATCCTTATCCTGAGCCTCATATCATACTCCTTCCTCTTAAGCTTGTCGGAAAGGAACCGAAACGCCTCGCTGACGAGTTTGAAAGCCTCTTCGGAACCAGCATGTGGGTTCTTGTCAGGGTGGAGAAGAAATGCGAGCTTCTTGTAGTTCTTCTTAATGGTGTTGGTGTGGGCAAAGGGCTCCACCTGGAGGATCTTGTACCAGTTGGGATCGGGGGTTTTGGAGGCTGTACGGAGGATCTTGAAGGAGGTGACCATGGAGGAAATGCCGTCCAGGTTTGGGCACAGCCGCTCCGCTCGTTTTGCGTATTTGAGGGCTGATTTGAAGTTGGAGTCTTTGCATTTGGCCTCAGCTACAGATTTCAGCCCCCGAGCTTCTTGCTCCTGCTCTGCTTCTTCCATATTATTTTTCTTTCTGTCTTTTAGTTTGTAGGGTTGAAGGGTCTTAACTGGTGAGCAAGCAAAATCAAAAGAGATTGAGCAAAAACAAGGCACGAACAAAGTGAGAAAGAAAGGGAGCAGCTGGAGTTTGCATACATGATATATAATATATTACTCACCTGTTCTTCGTTAACAGAGAAAACTCAGCAGCATCTTCTCCCGTTTGGATTTGTCAGAACCAAGAGTGGCTGTAAACCTCCCGGTAGTTTTTGGATTGGACAAGATTGGACTGGCTGAGACTGGACCAGGCTTCGAACCCTAGTTGTTGTTTGATGCCATACTTTCTAGGACTGCACTGTAAAATATTATATATTAAAAAAGCTATCATCTTTATCAGAATAAATAAATAAATAAACGAAATGGTGCATACTATGGAAGTGGAACCCATATCGGCGACACTAGATCTGTAGATTTTCAACGAATTGAAGTAAAAACAAACTTAAAGCAAGAATGAGAAACATGCGAAAATAAAATCGAAACCCTAAACCCAGAAAATGAAGATAACATTCATCAGGAATCTCAAAATTTAACAATAAAATCGAAAAACAAAACTTGAGAGAGAGAGAGAGAGATTTGAACCTTGTTTGAGCCAAATCAGAAGCCAAATACACCAGAGAAGAAAGGAGACTGCGCGGACAGACCATGTTATTCTGGACTATTGGATATGCATATCCAGTCCGTGATGCACACTTAAGCCCACCAAACCGGCCCTAGATTTAAAGAAATCATTTTGCATCCTACAATACAAGTAGTCTACAACATGTACTTATATAAATTTACCAAATTATTCTTAATTCATTCACAAGTTTCAGATTTTTTTTTTTTTTTTTTTTTTTGAAACACATACAAAAAAAAGTTGGACTAGATTTGGAGTGAAGTTGATGAGATTTGGACTAAATTTTTTTTCTTAATTCATTCCCAAGTTTTTCTTGTTCCTTGTACTGTCTGCATTTTCGACAGTTGATGATACAAGCCGTCTCTAATTTGATCCAAGAGACACATACAACAAAAAATTATATAACAGCTAGTAGTTCAAAGGACTTGATAACTACAATACAATCCATGATTGTCCAAATTTGCCATTGAACTTTACTATTATGTCATTTGGATGACATACATATTCGCATAAGGAACCTCATCTGATAAGAAAAACTCCAACAAGTGTACTACAAGTCTCTAATTAATTTGATCACCACCTCCAGTTATGAACTCTCAGTTTGCTATTAAACCGTCCGGAACGGAGGGGCCTCTCCAAATTTCAGTATGTAGGCAGTTTCATATACACCCCGCAGTTGTGGGATTACTTGAGCATCTAAATATGCATCGCAGGAGAAACACCAAACTGATAGATCACTGTTTGAAATGAAAAGAAAGTGAGAAGACAAATTTGGAAACCATCACTGTAGAACAGTAAATAAAAGATGACTTGAGGAAGGAAAATTTTGTGGAAAGCATTGATAATCATACCTGTAGCTGAGAGCAAGACAATGATTTGTCTGCTGAAAATGCTGAAGCATGTGCTTGTTCACGAAACGGCTGCACAGGATGTCCTTACAGCACAAACATAACCAGTTCTCATTCGGGTGCTGGCATCTAGTTTAAGAAAAATGTTTCCCATATTAGAAATGTAACGTATGATTCAAGACTTAGGCACTCTGACTCAAAACAACGTATAAAGAGAAGAGAATCAGAAGGAGCAAGCTTTAGATTCTCTTTCTCTATAACAATTTGAAGATTTAATTGGATGAGAAAAAAATTCAGATCCTTTTATAGTTGATGCACTTCGAATATAAATATATAAAAAACCAAAGGTTACCTAGACATTAAACTGCTAGGAAAGGAAACTAGAACAACCTCATGCCGTAGAATGAGGATCTTAGTCCTCTCAGAGCCATGCTTTCAACAATGCAAGATGTCTTCTCTATGTTTTCTTTTTAAAGCTTTTCAGGGGAAGTTAGATGCAATGCACATTGTTGGATTTAAACAGCAGTCACAAATGTTCCGCAGTCATGTAAAGCAACCTCAACTCATTCATTTGTTTGAAAAACAGTATACAAATTCGGAAAGCAAACGCTTAACAGACAACCATACAGCATGTGACTTCATGGGTGAAGAGACAAATGGCTGCAAATACAAACAAGAGGATGAATAAAAAATTAGAAGATGGGTTGTGACTTTTGTGAAAAGAAAAAAAAAAATTTAACCCTTTATCAAACTCTTTTGCTAGTGATAACAATCAAAGCCGGAACAAGATATCAGAGGCTAAATTGAGAACTGGGTCAAATTGGAAAAACACAAACAAAACTGAAAAACTGAAAAAAGAAAGGTTACAGCTTTGAGAAAAAGGAACCTGTTGCAGGGAGTATCAGGGGCGGGAATGTGAGCAAGATCAGTGGACAGGGAAGGCAGGTGATCGCAGAATGTTCGGGCCTCCACCCAACCCGATTCAGCTCCAAATATCAACTCTTCTTCGTTTTCAACAAATGGGTCCTCCTGATTCGCACAATCAACAAAACCCTTTGTCACAAAAATTCAAAAGAATCAAGCTTTCGGCTTCAGCCAAGCGCAGAGATAAAAGATTACCTGAGCAGCAGAAGAAGAGCCAGCTTGGGCTGCCATGGAGGAACTGATGGTCTCTCGCTCTGAACAAAGATAGAATTAGAAACTTGAAAGGTCTCTTTTTTTTTTTTTGGTCAAGGGAAAGGTCTCTGTTTTCAAGCAGTGTTTTATTTACGTTTTTATTTATACCCGGGTCGGGTCGGGTGGGCCTGGGTTGGTGACCCGACTGGATAACCCACCCGTGCGTTCTTATAAGTCTAGGGTTTTGTTTTGACTCTCTCCCATTATAAATACCAAGTTTAAACCTAGCTGATCCACTTCTTCCGCACCTTCAGATTCCTCGGCGCCTGCTAGGGTTTTTGCGTCCTTCAAACCAAATCATGGGGCACTCCAACGTGTGGAACTCTCACCCTAAGAACTACGGCCCTGGATCGCGCACCTGGTACTCATTTTCCCACTTTGATTTCCGAGAAATTTCAATTCCCAGTTCATTTTCATTGGTTTCAAGTTCAACTCTGTTGTTAGTTTATTTAGATTGATTTGTATTTTGTGTGTAGTCTTTAACTTTTCTGTTTGCGAGGGTTTCTGTAATTTCTATCTGTTGTAGGAAAACAGTCCATGATATTGAACGTGTTTCTAGTCAATAATCTTTTGTCGTGGAGTTTGTCATTCTGTTCATTCTTGCGGTTTTGTTGCATATTTCTGGAATTTATAAATCTCAATCTTAATTGAATTGGCCCTTTTCACATGGGTTTTTCATGCTCCCATTTGTCTGTTGATTTACCTAATTTGGTTAAATAAGCATATTCCCATTGTTATTTGAATGCTTTGACGTGTTGAAATTTCTTGAATTACATGAAGACATCTTGGTCAGATGTGTTCCATGAGTAGTAGTTGATACATTTCTCATTTGGATTTGTTACTTATTTGAATCTGGTTTGTGTTCATAATTTTGCATCTTTGCAATATGTGTGTGTGTACATATATATTGATTTTGCTTGTTTTGGTTTCCTTTTTTACAGTCGCGTGTGTGGAAACCCCCATGGGTTGATCAGGAAGTACGGTCTCATGTGTTGCAGGCAGTGCTTCCGTAGCAATGCCAAGGAAATTGGCTTTATTAAGGTAATGCTTTGAGAACTTTCAGCCACTGACTGTGTCCTAATTCCCCTCACCGATCTAGAATCATTTTCACATTGTAATTGACTTTCTTTTTGGCTGCAGTACCGTTAAGTAGCAGACCTTCAACGTCCCAGGACTTGAAGTTTTGGCCCAAGAATCGTCAGAGTAGTTGTTTCTGAGTTGTCATGAACTCCAAGAAGATATTTTTGTTTTAACTGATTTGCTGTTGAACTTGAATTGGTGGTCAGACTATGAATATTGTGTTAATGAATTAAAGTTTGATTTATGTTCTCTTTTGTTGTGGCTGTTCTGTTCTTGTTCATTTCCTATGGAATTTAGCTCATGTTTGCTTGCTCAGTATTCGGTGATAGCAAAATACTTTTGTTCAACACTATCTAATATCGAACAAAGAAAAGTGAACTTTGAAAGTAAATGGCACTGATCTTCCACTTTGTTCTTCCGATTTTCTTGTTTAGGGTTTCATTGATTGCTATGTGCCATGTTCTTGCCGTGTGCATTAGGTTGTAGTTATGGCGCACACCCGAGTTATCGAACCAGATCATAATCTTAAGTTGATGTCTGTTTCTTGTTCCATTTAGTCGCTTGTCCAGTTGCCTCTACCAAAATTAATTAGTTTATCAGTACTGTCATGACTTTTGTAGAACAGTGTGGAACACCAGTGCCAGTAAGCCTATTGCTTTCGAATTATGCCTGCTTGAATTTTGCAAAAATCGCCCTTGTGCTTTGTTGAAATGGAGATGAATTGAACCAAGTTAAAAAAACTGAAATGTTTTGAAAGACTGATGGTCTGTAAATGGAACCAAGTTAAGAGATAAAGAAGCTTGGTTGGCGTGTACTTTTAACAATCGCATCGTAAGCACTGCGGTCATGTTGTATATTTTAGAAGTTCAGAATTCATGTTATGCTAATTTGATTATAAATGCTCATGGTATGTTAAAATCCAACTACATCTAGTTAGGGCTCTTTTCTTAATACAAGCGATACTGAAGAAAGAGAAATTAGACCACAAGATTTCGGGTAGGGTGATAAATATTTAACCACTTCAGTTATAAGCTCTAGACTGTCAGAGTCGTTTTCAAAGAACAGTTCATTGGATATTTGAAATTTAGATGGTTCAGAACTTCCCCTTCTCCTCCTCTCTATGTTCCGATGATGCTTGGCAGTTTCAAAAATCTATGGACTTTCGAAGTGGGGCAGCATTACATCAATAATAGAACCAATCGAACATGGCTGTCCTATGCCATACATTCAAGCCAATACCTCCAAGTTACCAATAATTTATGACGTTAGTTCATGTTGAGTAGGTCTTGGAAAATCATGGTGGTCACCCATTTTGGTTACATCACAAAACTTTTGTATCTCTGATGCCACCGACTCTACAATCCCTGTGCAAGTTCAGTGCTTGCGTTTTCTTGTCTCAAGGACAAAAATTAACAAACTTATATTACCTTTCTAAGCCAAACCACAATGCTTTTTCTAAGCCAAACCACAATGCTTTTTTTTTTTTTATCTTTCTGTATTTTGCTAATCAGTGAAGCTTCTAGTTCATTCTTAAGAACACTTTCCTGTTTTTTATTCTTGTTCAACAGTAACTGGAATATCGTAGTGTGGTATTACTAATCGGAACATCATTATATGGGTGGAAGACGGGTTTATCTTATAAGATAAGATATGCCCATGTTAAAACATGAATGAATTAGTCATACCATGTGGGGACAGTACAATCTCACCTGAAAATTACTCCTGAAAAAAAAAGAGTGCAAGAACTTAACTATCTTTATAAATTATGTATGTATAGGTAAAACGATCTACCACTAGAGCTATGAGCCTATAACTTTCCACTTTGTAACCCTTTTTTCTACTCCTTGTTTACCATCAAATTTCATCTCAACTCTTGAAGTGCTAGCTGAGAGTACCAGCATGCATCAGTAACATATTATGGTGCAACTAACAAATTTTATTGAGGTGACTACAGCATCAATGATAGTGAAGATCACCTAAATGAAAATAAAAGCACAAATGGGCATGCAATAATATACTTCACCAACCTACTTGACTAAAATTTCTTCATCTCCAAGTTAGTTTTAAAAATCCTCCTTTTCAATGTCTTTTCTAACATCAATCACTTCCCTCTTATCATTTAGGTACAAAACTTCTGGAACTCATTAAATTTTCTCCTCTCCCACAACCATCAAATTGCACAATTGAAAGCTTCTCACATGACTGGCATGCAAAACTCCTGGAGAAATTTTCACCAAGTGTGAAGATTTGAATGTAAAACAATGAATCATTGTGACTCTGGATTGTTGCCCACCATCATGAAGGGGTTCATGAATTATGATGATCCTTTTAGATTCTAAGAAAATTAATGTAGAAAGTATAAATCTAACCTAATTAATCACATATAATACACACATGTTAGACTCTATATGCAAAATAATCACTTCTTTTTTTTCTTTGGAAAGGAAATGGTCACTTTCATTTTCTCTGTTGGGTTGAAGTGGAGAGGAGAAGCAATGTTGGAAAGCTATGGGGTGCAGACAAAATCATTCTCCTGTAGTTTATAATCACTTTCAAAACAAACTAACTAATACCCAATTAAACAAACATCACCTAGTGGGTGTGTGTTACTTTTAAACTAATTATCCAATTGGAGTGTACCTTAAGTCACATGGCTGCAGAACAAATACAAAGCTATCATCATTTCAGGATATTGTAGGCTTAGTAGCCATAGCTGAAATGATGCTATTCCAAAATTGGTGAATCAATATTCTATATAGAGACTCAGTTGGGATTTGGGGTTCTTAACAGGTTTGTAATTGTCTGCTAGTAATTTTGTCATTGATGGATCAGATTCTCCCTGAACTTTCACTGTTTTCAATGGTTTTTCCTTTTTTTTTTTTTTTGGTAATTATTAAACAACTAATGTCTACGAGATTTGAACTCAAAACATTCTTCACCAAAATAAAGGCTAATTGTAACTACGCCAAATGATCATTGACATTAAGTGCAGCACTGTACTGTTACATCGTTTGACTAATACATTGCTCTCTCGGAGTAGTCGCTTGGGTCTCCGGACTAGTACATTACCACTCCAAGCACCTCGGAAATTAACCGCCATGTTCTGTGGTTCACTGCTAAAATTACCAAACTCCTGCAGATTAGTATCCATTTTGAAGTCAACAATATAATAATTGAAGCTCTAATCAGTGATGTACGGACACCAATAAGGCCTTGAGTGGTTAGTGGTGTGATTAGATCTTACCTGATGTGGGGCAGACAGTGAGGAAGTTTCATGTTTTACTGTTAAAAACGTTGATGCTTTTGTATTTACAAGTTGGCTTGAGAAAGATATTATGTTATCTGTCTTCAATTGCCATACTTTTGGTTGTACTTTCTCCACATGGGTTAGGGCTTCATAGGTAGATTAGACTATCATAATAAAAGCAATTAAGGCAGTTGGATTAATGAGGTTCACTGTGTACTTTTTGGTTGCCTTTCCAGCTGGTGCAGTGCAGGGTTCATTTCCTAGCCTCTTCCAAAAAAATAATTTCTTTTTTTTTCTTTATAATAATTTTACTGAATTCGATCAGTAAGATTTGTATTTGGTCGGATCACGGATGGGATTATCTTGTTTTTAGTAGATTAAGTCCATGGAATCAAAGAATAAACAATGCATATGTCCTGCATTTTCTGATATAATATGAACCAGAAATGTATTAGAAAATATCCATATATATACAGTCAAACTAAGTCAGATTTCATAACCAGAACGAAAATGTTAGAGAGAGAAATTAACTGTAATTTTGGATGGAAATATAAAATTGCTGAACATATAAGGAAAGTTGATGGCACTAATCAGATTTTTCTTGTTGTTTTTTTAGAAGGAATTGGGAAATTAGGTAGTTGGGACAATTTGCCAACAAATTTTTAACCAATTTTCCTTTGGACCATTTCAGCAGATGCTAGAAGATTGAGATTTATTGTGGAGCTGATTTAATGTTGATGTCTTTGAATGATACTGTTGAAATTTATCAAATAAAGTTTTTCTTTGATAAAAAAAATTGCGAAGCTAGTTAACTGGACTGGCAGAAGCCACAACAAAGAAAAAAGTTCCGGGGATTTAAAAGAAATAGGAAATATGTTGAAAGCAAAGGCATAACTAAAAATTGAGAGATGTTGATTAAGATGTGGTATCTCCTTATACAAACTAATGCTAAAAAGGGTTGTATAGCTTAGCTTGCAAAAATGACACAATGCAGTTGAGTCCATCCTTTAATCTTGTTTAAGCTTATGGCATCATTAATTGATATCATCAACCACTTTTTTGCTTGAAGGCTGTTTTCATGGAGGTTGTTAGCTCACTCATATCTTTCCCTCATGAAGAAAAAAGAAAATTATGCAGCTTGTATTGCCATTATAGATTAGTTTTATAACTTCACCTCTCTCCTTTTTTCTTCTTCTTTTTTTATATTGTGCCTCTCATTACTTTGTTATTAATTGGCAATTATGACAACTTCCACTCCACAAATGCTATCTAGGTCAGTGCACACTAATTGTTCTGTACAGCTAAATAGTACATACCAGAGACAGAGAACAGGATTGGAATTTTTTTTACCCATGTCTCATTTATATGTGTGAGAATAAGATGAGGTGAACACATACCACAATTTTGGCATATACTTGTACTTTGTACCACCATTTATGTTTGAACTCAAATTCAAAACCTCCTTGAAATAACAACTCAAGCATTTCTCGTCGGTCGATAATTTATACGGGAATTTTCATATCACGTCATCATAATAATGTAATATGTTAAATTATTTGGCGATAAAACTGAATAATATATACATGTATTTTTTTTCAATTTTAGTGCATGTCATAATATTCTGATACTAACATCAGCAAGAGAAAATGTATAATCCAATATTCGGAAATTATTATATGGGAGAAAGTCGCATGTGGAGAAAATGTATTAATAAATTAATTAAATAGTTTCAAGACTTAAAATGCAATTAAATCAACATAACATAACGTTAACGTCCCTCCAAAGTTTCTCAGAGAAAAAAAAAATCCCAAACCTGCAAAAACTCTCGTAGCATTTTCTTTTGGCCAGAGACGCTCTCAGACTCTCTCTCATACACTTGCAAATCTCGCCTCTCTCTCTCTTACCGACTTCTACTTCTCTCTCTTCCGCTCTCTCAAAACCCACAAACACAGAGACAGCAAAGCTCACCGCTTTCTCTCTCAGCTCCAAAAATGCTGAATCTCCCGCAAACCTATCTCAGAATTTCCCCTGCTCCTGCAATTTCTTAAATCTGCATTGCTAATTTTTGGGGGCGTGATGGGTTTGCGAGTGGCACAAAAATTCAATCTTTAAGAGGGCAATGTGAGGAGGAGGACTTAGGATTT